CACTATGATTCATATTTATTTTTTCATTTGGGCTCAAGACACATAAATGCACAATAATTGAGTACGCACACACTGGCAACACCAACCTACATTTCGTAATTTATTACCAAGTAAAAGTATTCTTATTGACGTACTTTCATTTTTGGTCCACAACCCTTCCGCTTATGCCAAACAAGCGAAATCGAACATTATTAGTAAGAAGGCCAGATACACCTGACAAAAGCCTTGTCTGAGTCTCCACGAATGTCTTATGCCTATCACTAACTATCCATATGAAGAGCCCACCATCATACATCCAAAAGCAACGTAATTAATAGAAATTTAGAAATAATAAGACACAAGACTAAACTTTCAGTCCGGAATTTTGTCAGACTATCTCATGATTGAAACTTCGTTACCATCCGAATTTAGACTGTAGATAAAAGTATACCATCCCTATGAACATAAACCCATGAAAAATAATATTCGATAGAGAGACGAAAACCAACCCACCTGTGGTAGCTATATGTTTAATAAAGCGCCCCGCAACAAAGCATATCCAATATATACAATACAGTTTTAATTAACTAACATAAACCACCCAGTTTCCCTAATTTCATACATTAATAATAAGAACCAGTATCCGTCTTGTTTCAGAGGAGTCAACTAATTGTTAGTAACATGTTGGATTTTAGAGATAAAATGAACGAATTGTAATTCCCAATATGTTGAAGTCTATCCATATGATCGCACTGATTATGGTCAGTTTCGGTAGTTATTAATGGGTCTGTATATCTTGCAATCTGAGTGAGAAAGTTTGTCTCGAGGCAGTAGCCTTTCTCGAACCAGCAGATATCACATTACCAGACGAGAGATTTTTTTCTCTTTTATCGTTAATATACCTAGGTTCTTGCCTGGAGGTATTGGTGATCCCCTGCTACTAGACACGGAAGCCTGATAAGCGAAAGCTTCTTCTATTCCATTTGAACCATTTAGAGATTGGTTGGTTGCAGTGTGAAAAGTAATAAAGAAAAAATCTGAATTCAGAAAAAGTAAGAGAAGACCGTTGTCTCAACAAGTGTATTGATAAGTACACAAAGTTATGAAACGGTAATGCAGACAGTGTGATAACACCGAAGTTTGAGAAAAAGAGGGAAACGAAGACAATAATAAATGGGATAAGAATAAATCGATGACACGTGGTAATGGTAACAGTAGGTAAGCAACGAGACGTGCATCAAGTACAGCTATCCTGAGTGTAAAATAATAATGCATTAGCGAGTAAGTGTTTTTTAAGTCACCTCTTGAATCCATCTGTTGATTAGTCTGAGGTCACAACGGACAAGGCAGATAGGGGCAATTCTCAATGAAAAAATGGGGGGGTACATATGGGCTTTTGCCTATTGACGTGGAATTTTTCAAGGATTTTCTCAATAACAATGGTGATGGTGTTCTTTTAGGATGTTCGTGTTGAGTTGAATAAGCGTACTGAATATGTCGTGTGCCGTTTTCGTGTTAGTCCTTCGTCCTTATAGGCCAGACGGACTAGTCTTGGGTGTTGGATTTTTTCCACAGCTTCATCGTCTACCTAGTCTCTAGTTTCTGCACTTAATCAAAAAGATTTGTATCTCTTTCTAGGAGACGAGTGATAATAATGGATGTAAATGAGACGTGATGTATACATGCTGAAAACCACAAAGCGTATCACTTCATAAACAAGTATATTCAGATGATGTTTCAAGCGAATAAATCTAAGACACCATGTCGCTCATAGTTATGGTTCGCTTTTCTAAAATTTTCTATTGAGGAGACTGCGGTTACCTGGGCTGGGAGGATGAAATCGAACCGCAAACATGTCAATGTGCTCATAACTGGATGTTCTGTCTTTAAAATGTAGATCGAGAGTCTCCTTGAGGCGAGCTGAGGCTAGCTTCGGAATAATCTTTGTGGTGAGCTGGAATTCACTAAACTGGTTCTCGGCCTCTGATTCTTCATCTTAGAGACTTTTTCTGGAAACAAGCTCCAACTAGTAAACGAAATGCCATAGATTGGAAGTGGTTTCATCGAGTATTTGAAGTATATTTCATCTTAATTTAAGAGACGACTTTGTCCCAGGGTTATAGAATTCATGTAACTAATAAGTTTCGCTATAACTAGAGAGTATTTTAGTCAATACAATCGGTGACGTAAATGAAGTAGAAGGGAAGAAAAAAGAGACACCTGCAATTAGAGCGGGTTTCCAACTACTGAGTCATGTGGTTGTTTCATATTACCTTCTCTAAAAGCGTTTCCGCTGTTATTGATAGGTTTTCTACGTATTTTCACTTATCAGCTCTTATGCTTCTCTTCATTCTCTTGTTTACTTGTGTGTATTCCGTCATTAGCTTGACTTTCTCTGCTCTCGTTCGGCTGTTGTTATTTGCCGTTTTAGTGTTCTTCCTAACTTGAACCTCATCCAGGGTTTCCGCAGATATCCATTCCTTATGATGATGCTTCTTGCGGTTAGCACTTCTTAACACGTTGAAGTTAGTGCTTCACTGATCGCTTTCCAATTATTCTTCAGAGTATTTTACCCTTCTCTAAGTAGATCCTGTAATGCTTGAAACATTTTGATGTGAGTTATCTTGAATTCGTTGAGTTTTTCAGCGTCTCAAAGAAAGGCCGTAATGAACATTTATAATGCTGTTTCTCTAGTTGTCCTATGCTTATTTATCTTGACAACCACCAAGTTGTAACCTGATGTTATGTTGGATTCTCTCCCAATCCTCACGTCTTTTATTGCTCTTCCAAATATGTTGGTGATGCAAATATGATCTATTTGGTCCCCCGTGGTGTGGCCCGGTGATATCCATGTAACGTTGTGTATGCGTTTGCTGGAGAATATAGTGCCTCTACGAACATCTAACGATTAAAATCTGCTTTTTAAACGGAATTTAGAATCGATACAATAACGGGAATATTACGACCACTTATAGAGATAAGAAGTAGCACATGCCTAACGAACAGTGGCGGAGAGATAACTCCATGAATCAATGATGGGGGCAGTTATATTTGTATGAAAGTCTGAAGCGAATTCATTTCTGGCATTGAAACAGTTATAACAATAGCGATAGCTTGTCTGGAAGTAGACATATCTTAATTAGTGAATGGTTAATTTCAAATAATACTAACTGATTCGCCAATGCACACGATTATGGTGTTCGCCCTCAAATGACTGGTCAAACTCACTCATGGATTACTGAAAACTAATTCTGCAGACTTATTGGGTATATAGTTGACAGATAATTCCCATTCAAACATTAAAAACATGAAGTTCAGCGAAAAGATCTCTTTTGAATGAACTTATATATATATATATATATATATATATATATATATATATATATGAAAATTGTTTCATTCAAGTACTTGTTTCGTGAGGAAATGGGAAAAAGGAATAGCCAAGATTATGTGATAGAAAGCTCAGAATACTAGATAACGTAATAAGGATGGTAAAAGTAGACGTAAGAAGTTAGTCATTAACTATAATGTGAATGTAGTAAGATGATTAAAATGTCTTTGTTACACTCGTTCAACACATGACTCCCTTCCATAGACTTCACGTTCCAGTTTGTGTGACCAGTCAATATTTTTTCTCTGTGTGCGTTTGATGAGAAGAGGTAACGGGTCCTTAAAAAGATCCATGTTTAGGAAACAAACATGCAAGTTTTTCACCACGATACCAATCTTAATAAACTATTTCATGACAACAAGCGATCCGTATGTTAAATGCTGCTTTCGCTAAAGTTTGAAAGTCCACAATTTCTAGAGAAATCACACATCATCATTGCCCTATGTGATCGACCATGACTAAAATATAACCATTTCCAAGGATGGTCCCCTAATGTCCCAATAATATCAATCCACGCCATCTCTTGACTCAAAGCAAATATATCACGAAACCTTTTCAACGTTCGTCATAACAGTCCCTTATGCTCCGAGGTAGCAAATCACAAATATAAGTGAAGTATCATCCATCTGTATTGGATTAGCAATAATCGATATTTGTGTCTAAAAATTGTGTCGATAATACTGAAACCCACAAAAGCTAACTGACCGTAATTAGCAAATAGAATGATTGAACTACCACTTTTGGACATTACAAAATGCTCGGAGTTGTACCAAAACGTCAAGAAGGGAGTTTAAAGATATCAGTTATTTTATGCAAGCTCGTGACAAATACTTTGGATATTGGACACTGGACATCGTTTTGAGGTTGTTTCTATTAGAAACGCCTCAGGAAATTCTAAGTGGTAATTTGATTATTTAACTTACTGCATTCGAAACATAACCGTATCAGTTTTGTGTTCCGACTGTCGAATTTTCTTTGTCTTACGTTTATCTTTTCTTATTCACACATAAAAAATCGTTTTCAGGTCTATAGAAATCATCTGGTATAACTCGCCTGGATTTTTAAACGATGTGTCTTAACATATTAGAAATTTTTAGTTGCTTTCCATACTAATGTAGGTGTAGTGTGTAATTACTAGGTTGTCGGTCGCTTTAAACACTCATGGCTTTTCTCATCCCACAACACTATTCCTTGAGGCTAGATCCACTCTTACCTAGCTCTGAATATTCTACAGGTGTAATATTACTCTATTGGCCTATGGTTACAGTCGTCAGATTCTTTTGATCTCAGCCTTGTCTTGATGTCGATTTTTGCTATCCCAACCTCATATTATTTGTTTTTAAAATTTTTCGGGTCAGTTTTCTCCTTTCCATGCTATATTTCCCACTTAATTCGCACTAACGACTTATAGGTTGGACACGAATTTACCATAGTCCAAACGTTACACGGAAGACAGAGTAACTGCATACCCCACGACCATTATTACATCAATTAATCCACTTAAGTGGTTTATTCAATGCATTCTGTGACATACCAGGATTGCCCAAGGAAGTCAGAGGTCGAACGCTACGTTAAAGAGCATAAAATCGATGAAATGCTCCAGAATTTGACCTCTTCGTTATTCTACCAAATGCCAGGTAAGCACATTTACTACCTATTCAATTCGTACAATATCTACTTTATATATATATATATATATATATCACTCAAATGCACTATAGAACCTGATACATGTAAGCATCAAATGGTTTTTATCGCTTTTTATATTTGAATTCTTAGCCTCCTGTCAATAGGAAGTAAGTACTGCCTCACTCTGTATAAATTCAGCGTTAAATTGGTGTTTATGTCTTACATGGACGTCAAATTTTTAGACATAATATCGCACTAGTTTTCCGGTAGTTTATTAGTGTTCACTGAAATTTCACGATGTCATTCAGTTTTATAAATTATATTGTTATAAAAAATACCAAATAAATCTGTACTCCATATTTCATTCGGTTATTGTGATTCTTATCACCAGGTTAGTCTTGAATGTGCAAATGGGTACTGTGAACTGTTTAACTTCTGTTACTCATTAATCATCTTGAAGGACTTTAAAACATCAACACCATGGCCACTGTCAAGCGGGGCGCGTGTACACATTACTGAAAACGTATTTTCATCTCAGTCTAACCTTTTACGGCATGTGCCCTGCAATGCAGACAATAGCCCTCTTTTCTGTTTTTATGATATATGTTCTTTGACACGTACATGTAAACTGGAAGATGCAATTAGAAATGATACAAGGCAAAAATTGGTTCACATACGACTGTCTTAATGAGTAATTTACTTGATAGAAAAGAACCGGTTTGGCAGCTGGACAAGTCATTTTTATTGTGGTTTTTAACCTAAATTCCGTTTTTTTCAGCCGCTTTATCACCCTTGAAGCCAAGTCTTAGGAAGTCAGGCTTTCTTTCAAATACAGCATACTCCATTTCTTCCATTTAATCTTCCCGTACGTCTTTGTGAATTTCTGAGGGTAGTCATTACTATGTAAACAAAGTCCGGGTATAGTTATAATTTTCATCAATTTTGCCTTCTGAACGTAATCTTGTGGTACGATTGAACAGCTTTCTAACTAAGGCTGTGGTCAAATTGATGAAGTGGATATGGGTAGCCCACCAGGTCCAATCCTGACAGATATCTTCATGGCAAACCTAGGACAGACAGTGATGAAATCAATCGTCAATGATACAGCGTTGCACGTCGGATATGTTGACGACGAATTAGTTGTCATTAACGTTTATTAACATGCTTCCCATATGCTGTAACTCTTCGTAAATTTTTATTGACGATAACTCTTCCGGCATTATTATGTGTAGTAATTACTCTGACTTCTGAGGATTAATACTACCATGTTAAAGTTATAAGCAGCTAATCAGAAACTGTGAGGTGTAGTGAAACCATGTTATTCTGTTAGATTAGCTCCTGCTTTATTCAACTTTATGAATGGGAAGAAATAATTTTTATTTATTGGTATAATTAGATCCTGTGAGCATTGACTAGGTATAAAATAGGTAGATTGTGGTTAGCATTAGAATGGAAGATGCGCATTCGGTACTAATTGAAGCTCATCAGTGGGATTTGCCTACATTCGTTTTGGTTTTTATATCGGTGTCTGAGCTAAGTACTGTCCGCATCAAATGACTGAATTTGAGTAACCTATAGCTTGTGCAGAGAGTATGATTATTATCATACTAATAGTAAACCAAAATTTAGGCCTCAGTAACAACCAAGGGATAATGCGATCTCATTCTAATAATGATATAAATATCACACGCGGTGCACAAGTGAATGGATATCTAAATTCAGTACTTTATTGAATAATGTGTTGGCGTTCGGATTGAAAGTCACTGGGTTATATTCGCGGTGCAAACTTAAACACATATGTACCTGTGTCCAGTTAAAGAGTACCACGTAGAACAAATCGTTCGTCTTGAATTCCACTTCAAGCCACATTTAATCTAATTTATAAGACTTTGTAAAGAAGTTATATTTTACTGGATCAAGTCAGATTAAGAATTCAAATTATGCTGTATTCGATTAGTTAGCAAATAATAATCTGAAGAGAATCAAGAGTTTGTAAATGATTTGTCTTGATAATGCTTTTTTTCAAACATATACTGTTCCATTTTGAATCATATCTATCACTCATATCAAGCAATGTTGTCTTCATCTAAATCTTTAATGATCTATATGGTTTTGATAAAAATGTACTACCAATGTAACCCTGTGGAACTGGTAAGGTTTATAAAAGTAGCATATCTATTGTATTAAAACACCAAGTCACACTAATAAAATTAGAAAAAAACACATGTCGAAGAAAACACGATATTCCCTTTTAGTTACCATCTTTTATTATTCTGTACTGTTTATGATATTGTACATATAAAGCACAGTTACAACTAGTAATAGTAGGCTAATGATATATTTTTCATACTTCAATAGGAAGGAATTAAAATTTCTAACGTTTTTCATCTTAGTTCAGGAAGCTTCTTCAAAATAAGTAAGTAACCGGATTAAATTAATAGAAGTTTAAACAGCAGAGAGTATTAATGAAGAATATGTAGTTCAATCAAAATAAAAATAGATGTGACTATATCAATTTCTCTTCATTTTCATCAAGATGATTCTGTATCGAACATCTTTGTGTGTATTTATGTGTATGGATTGAGTTCATTTACAACTTTACTTTCTTACTTACGCCTGTTACTCCTCGTAAAGGAGCATAGGCCGCCTACCAGTTTGGTTAGCGTTTTTTTAGCGGGTTGGTTTTCTACAGGATGGGATTACTAACCCCATGTCCAACCCTCCTCCCTTACCCAGGTTTGGCACCAGCAGTAACTTTAGAAAAGCTACAACTTTGCTCCTCGTGGAGGAGCATACGCCATCTACCAGCACTCTCTATCCTACCCTATTCTGAACAATCCTTCCCAGCTCTTTCCAGTTGTTAATCATTCATTTAAAAACTTTTTTATATTAATCTTTAAATATGGTTTCATAATGTAAAATTATTTCTAATCAATAATTTATTAATATTTTAGAAAATCCAAAACAATATTTAATTGAACAATTACGATTATTAAAAGCTTCACGAGATGAATATGCAGAACCTCCAACATTATTTACTGAAACTAATGCTGAAACAATATTTAATATGCTTGATCCATGTGATAAGAAGTCAATCCCTCTAGATCGATATCATCATGCTTTAGAAACATTAGGAGTACTACAACATAGTAAAGTTTTAGACAACAAAGATGAATTCATAAGTAAAGATGTATATATGAATGTTGTGTAAGTAGTTGTGTTTTTTCTAATTGATTTGAACTTCTTATTATTAGTAAAACAGGTTTAAAACAAATGGCCTCAACTTATAAACCATTTAAATAAGTTATGGAAATCAAAAATAGTAACAAAGAAGATTCATATGCAAATTGTATTGTATAACAATGAAATAGCCATATGTAATGTAATGTGTGTGACTCAAATAAGAAAAAATTGATGTAAATTAAACTTTTCCTAATTGATAAATCTTTGCTCTTATTTCAGTTTTCTAAAGGAATTTAAAACAATTTTGATGAACTATATTGTAAAAGAGTTAATCTTACTTCAAGAATAAGTAATAGGTATTTAAGCAAAGATGGATAGGGGCTAGTAATGGAATCTAGGACACGGGTTTCTTCCCATTTGGGACTTATCAGATGGATGTGACTGCATTTCATAGTTGTTCACCGTGGAATTTGAACCCAGTACCATTTGCTTTGAGCACCATCGCGTTATCTACTTATCTACTGAGTCCTGATAGCCATTTGCTTTTGCAATGGGGTGAAGTTTGAATGCACTTAATGTTGTTTTACTTTTATCTTCCCATTGTTATTTAGGACTGCAATTGATCAGTCTCATGTTGACATATGTGCATTTCGTACGGATTGAAGCGAACGGTACTGGGTTCGACTTCCGGAGTGAACATCAACTCTGGGATGCAGGTACATCCAGCTGACAAGTTTTAAATAGAATAAAACGCCTGTCAAACTGGATTCCACTGCTAACCACTGTTCATCTTTGCTAACAAAGCTTGTGACTTCAGGCTATATTGAGGCAATCCGCACAGGATGCACATATGCCAATATGAGAATGATCAAATGCAGTCTTAAATAACAATGGGAAGACACAAGTAAAACAATACCTAGTGAATTTAAGGAATATGTATGTTTCATGTAGAGGGAAGGCATACAGTTAAAAGCTAATCAACAAATTAGAAGTTTGCGTAAACGTTAACTATTATAGACTTGGTTGTTCGAATATCAGTGATTTATTGATTAGTATGATCAAGTAGAAATAATAGATGTGTGAAATAATCAGTCAGTCGCAACGTAGAACTTCGTACTTACGTATGTACATATATCAGTTCAAATTGCATACCAGATAAGCACAGAGACACAATTGTCATTCAAATCCCATAGTTGTACAGGTAGTAAAAGTATAAGCAGTAATAGGGAACATTAGGGTTTGATGATGTTATTCAAGGAGTATAATCCAATAAAATAAATTTGGAAAGACTGAGCATGACATACAAACTCTTGTTTTTAAACTAAGAGCTTATAACGTAGAGTTTCAAGGATTTTTAACCCAATCATAAGCAATGTCATTCGCGATACATTTACAAATATTGGTAAATTAATCATTTCTACACAGCACCCCATAGTGTCCAGAGGGAACACTGGTCCAAGAAATTAATAAGTTGAAAAGTATACCGAAATGATGTGCAAGCATATATATATGTATATATAAACGTATGTAATGTTGGTAAAGAGTCATTATGCAACAACCAATTACTGAGATAAGGCTCTTCTAAATAGGGAAATTGTATGTGACTGAAAAACGTTCTGCGGATTGAGCTGATTTGTTATATGGACAGAGAAACCTGTAAAATTTTTCATCTACTTTAACAGCAGGAAGAGAGATAACAATGGTTTAGTGAGCTTCTAACAACGTAAAGAGATAAGTGGGGAGAGATGGAATTACAAATACCCCTAATGCAACTGGTATGTGTACATAGACCATAGTGGTATCGTGAGAATAAAGTTCGTCGATCTAGAAGTAGTCCTAGAGACGCAAGTTTAAATTGTAGAGGCTATTATGAGCAGTATAAGAACCTACAAAACACTTCACAGCGCTAAGCTGTAAAACACGATACAGTTGTAAATCGCATAGTAAAGTATAAAACATAATAGCCTCCAAACTAAGGCAGCAAAAGGTTCTCTCATACATACATATATATACCGGCTTAGCCATCTCTCATTGAATTTGGCTTGACAATTATCTATGATTCCATAGCATGGACGTGATCGTATACGGTGATGATAATGATGCAGCTAGGTGATTGCCAAGAATATCCAAACATGGTAGATTACAAGTTACCTCATCAATCTACAGCTAAGTGTGAAATTTGTACATCTAGCAGTTGACAATTGATTGCATTGTTACACCATGAAGTTTAGGATGTGACGGATGTTCAGCAGCTAGATGCTCCCGAATGCCCTAATACGGCAGGAATTGGGGAGTCAACTCTCCCTCTCAAAATGCTCTTACATGGCCACGTGCATACAATCACTGCCAGGGAACTCCTAGTCACTGCCTTCTCAAGGTATCACTGTTAATTACGAGGTTGAGAGGACGAAAAGCGAATATCTGGCACTTTAACAGTGTTGGTGGATACGGAGGTCCCACATAGGGGGGCTGGAAATCCCTCATTCCAAACCAATGGTGCACATAGGTTCCACGATGGTGAGAGAACAAATGGCGAAAGAACCAATGCTTGGTGACCGGCTACCATGGGACTGCATCTGGCGTTGCTACACTGCATTGTGGATCAGACCTTTAAGTCGAAGGCTGGGGGTTCAGGCCTCTAGGAAAACCACCTGTATCGGTTTGGGAGTCCTGGCATTATCCCAGCCCCCAGACAAATCTTATGATTTATGGGGCACATACCTATTTGGTGTCTCCTAGTACCAAAGTTTATGAGTTAAATAAATAGAAATATAATGGATAGTGGCTAGGTTGTCTATCTGAATATCAAGACTTCAAAGGCTAAAACAACCGGATATATTAACTTGACGTGTGTGTAGTTACGATAAGTTTTCAGTTATCATTCTAATAGCGATTTCTTGTATTAATTAGTTTTTCGTCATTATGCACTATGATTCATATTTATTTTTTCATTTGGGCTCAAGACACATAAATGCACAATAATTAAGTACGCACACACTGGCAACACCAACCTACATTTCGTAATTTATTACCAAGTAAAAGTATTCTTATTGACGTACTTTCATTTTTGGTCCACAACCGTTCCGCTTATGCCAAACAAGCGAAATCGAACATTATTAGTGAGAACGCCAGATACACCTGACAAAAGCCTTGTCTGAGTCTCCACGAATGTCTTATGCCTATCACTAACTATCCATATGAAGAGCCCACCATCATACATCCAAAAGCAACGTAATTAATAGAAATTTAGAATTAATAAGACACAAGACTAAACTTTCAGTCCGGAATTTTGTCAGACTATCTCATGATTGAAACTTCGTTACCATCCGAATTTAGACTGTAGATAAAAGTATACCATCCCTATGAACATAAACCCATGAAAAATAATATTCGATAGAGAGACGAAAACTAACCCACCTGTGGTAGCTATATGTTTAATAAAGCGCCCCGCAACAAAGCATATCCAATATATACAATACAGTTTTAATTAACTAACATACACCACCCAGTTTCCCTAATTTCATACATTAATAATAAGAACCAGTATCCATCTTGTTTCAGAGGAGTCAACTAATTGTTAGTAACATGTTGGATTTTAGAGATAAAATGAACGAATTGTAATTCCCAATATGTTGAAGTCTATCCATATGATCGCACTGATTATGGTCAGTTTCGGTAGTTATTAATGGGTCTGTATATCTTGCAATCTGAGTGAGAAAGTTTGTCTCGAGGCAGTAGCCTTTCTCGAACCAGCAGATATCACATTACCAGACGAGAGATTTTTTTCTCTTTTATCGTTAATATACCTAGGTTCTTGCCTGGAGGTATTGGTGATCCCCTGCTACTAGACACGGAAGCCTGATAAGCGAAAGCTTCTTCTATTCCATTTGAACCATTTAGAGATTGGTTGGTTGCAGTGTGAAAAGTAATAAAGAAAAAATCTGAATTCAGAAAAAGTAAGAGAAGACCGTTGTCTCAACAAGTGTATTGATAAGTACACAAAGTTATGAAACGGTAATGCAGACAGTGTGATAACACCGAAGTTTGAGAAAAAGAGGGAAACGAAGACAATAATAAATGGGATAAGAATAAATCGATGACACGTGGTAATGGTAACAGTAGGTAAGCAACGAGACGTGCATCAAGTACAGCTATCCTGAGTGTAAAATAATAATGCATTAGCGAGTAAGTGTTTTTTAAGTCACCTCTTGAATCCATCTGTTGATTAGTCTGAGGTCACAACGGACAAGGCAGATAGGGGCAATTCTCAATGAAAAAATGGGGGGTACATATGGGCTTTTGCCTATTGACGTGGAATTTTTCAAGGATTTTCTCAATAACAATGGTGATGGTGTTCTTTTAGGATGTCCGTGTTGAGTTGAATTAGCGTACTGAATATGTCGTGTGCCGTTTTCGTGTTAGTCCTTCGTCCTTATAGGCCAGACGGACTAGTCTTGGGTGTTGGATTTTTTCCACAGCTTCATCGTCTACCTAGTCTCTAGTTTCTGCACTTAATCAAAAAGATTTGTATCTCTTTCTAAGAGACGAGTAATAATAATGGATGTAAATGAGACGTGATGTATACATGCTGAAAACCACAAAGCGTATCACTTCATAAACAAGTATATTCAGATGATGTTTCAAGCGAATAAATCTAAGACACCATGTCGCTCATAGTTATGGTTCGCTTTTCTAAAATTTTCTATTGAGGAGACTGCGGTTACCTGGGCTGGGAGGATGAAATCGAACCGCAAACATGTCAATGTGCTCATAACTGGATGTTCTGTCTTTAAAATGTAGATCGAGAGTCTCCTTGAGGCGAGCTGAGGCTAGCTTCGCAATAATCTTTGTGGTGAGCTGGAATTCACTAAACTGGTTCTCGGCCTCTGATTCTTCATTTTAGAGACGTTTTCTGGAAACAAGCTCCAACTAGTAAACGAAATGCCATAGATTGGAAGTGGTTTCATCGAGTATTTGAAGTATATTTCATCTTAATTTAAGAGACGACTTTGTCCCAGGGTTATAGAATTCATGTAACTAATAAGTTTCGCTATAACTAGAGAGTATTTTAGTCAATACAATCGGTGACGTAAATGAAGTAGAAGGGAAGAAAAAAGAGACACCTGCAATTAGAGCGGGTTTCCAACTACTGAGTCATGTGGTTGTTTCATATTACCTTCTCTAAAAGCGTTTCCGCTGTTATTGATAGGTCTTCTACGTATTTTCACTTATCAGCTCTTATGCTTCTCTTCATTCTCTTGTTTACTTGTGTGTATTCCGTCATTACCTTGACTTTCTCTGCTCTCGTTCGGCTGTTGTTATTTGCCGTTTTAGTGTTCTTCCTACCTTGAACCTCATCCAGGGTTTCCGCAGATATCCATTCCTTATGATGATGCTTCTTGCGGTTAGCACTTCTTAACACGTTGAAGTTAGTGCTTCACTGATCGCTTTCCAATTATTCTTCAGAGTATTTTACCCTTCTCTAAGTAGATCCTGTAATGCTTGAAACCTTTTGATGAGAGTTATCTTGAATTCGTTGAGTTTTTCAGCGTCTCAAAGGAAGGCTGTAATGAACATTTATAATGCTGTTTCTCTAGTTGTCCTATGCTTATTTATCTTGACAACCACCAAGTTGTAACCTGATGTTATGTTGGATTCTCTCCCAATCCTCACGTCTTTTATTGCTCTTCCAAATATGTTGGTGATGCAAATATGATCTATTTGGTCCCCCGTGGTGTGGCCCGGTGATATCCATGTAACGTTGTGTATGCGTTTGCTGGAGAATATAGTGCCTCTACGAACATCTAACGATTAAAATCTGCTTTTTAAACGGAATTTAGAATCGATACAATAACGGGAATATTACGACCACTTATAGAGATAAGAAGTAGCACATGCCTAACGAACAGTGGCAGAGAGATATCTCCATGAATCAATGATGGGGGCAGTTATATTTGTATGAAAGTCTGAAGCGAATTCATGTCTGGCATTGAAACAGTTATAACAATAGCGATAGCTTGTCTGGAAGTAGACATATCTTAATTAGTGAATGGTTAATTTCAAATAATACTAACTGATTCGCCAATGCACACGATTATGGTGTTCGCCCTCAAATGACTGGTCAAACTCACTCATGGATTACTGAAAACTAATTCTGCAGACTTATTGGGTATATAGTTGACAGATAATTCCCATTCAAACATTAAAAACATGAAGTTCAGCGAAAAGATCTCTTTTGAAAGAACTTATATATATATATATATATATATATATATATGAAAATTGTTTCATTCAAGTACTTGTTTCGTGAGGAAATGGGAAAAAGGAATAGCCAAGATTATGTGATAGAAAGCTCAGAATACTAGATAACGTAATAAGGATGGTAAAAGTAGACGTAAGAAGTTAGTCATTAACTATAATGTGAATGTAGTAAGATGATTAAAATGTCTTTGTTACACTCGTTCAACACATGACTCCCTTCCATAGGCTTCACGTTCCAGTTTGTGTGACCAGTCAATATTTTTTCTCTGTGTGCGTTTGATGAGAAGAGGTAACGGGTCCTTAAAAAGATCCATGTTTAGGAAACAAACATGCAAGTTTTTCACCACGATACCAATCTAAATAAACTATTTCATGACAACAAGCGATCCGTATGTTAAATGCTGCTTTCGCTAAAGTTTGAAAGTCCACAATTTCTAGAGAAATCACACGTCATCATTGCCTTATGTGATCGACCATGACTAAAATATAACCATTTCCAAGGATGGTCCTCTAATGTCCCAATAATATCAATCCACGCCATCTCTTGACTCAAAGCAAATTTATCACGAAACCTTTTCAACGTTCGTCATAACAGTCCCTTATGCTCCGAGGTAGCAAATCACAAATATAAGTGAAGTATCATCCATCTGTATTGGATTATCAATAATCGACATTTGTGTCTAAATATTGTGTCGATAATACTGAAACCCACAAAAGATAACTGACCGTAATTAGCAAATAGAATGATTGAACTACCACTTTTGGACATTACAAAATGCTCGGAGTTGTACCAAAACGTCAAGAAGGGAGTTTAAAGATATCAGTTATTTTATGCAAGCTCGTGACAAATACTTTGGATATTGGATACTCGACATCGTATTGAGGTTGTTTCTATTAGAAACGCCTCAGGAAATTCTAAGTGGTAATTTGATTATTCAACTTACTGCATTCGAAAAATAATCGTATCAGTTTTGTGTTTCGACTGTCGAATTTTCTTTGTCTTACGTTTATCTTTTTTTATTCACACATAAAAAATCGCTTTCAGGTCTATAGAAGTCATCTGGTATAACTCGCCTGGATTTTTAAACGATATGTCTTAACATATTAGAATTTTTTAGTTGCTTTCCATACTAATGTAGGTGTAGTGTGTACTTACTAGGTTGTCGATCGCTTTAAACACTCATGGCTTTTCTCATCCCACAACACTATTCCTTGATGCTAGATCCACTCTTACCTAGCTCTGAATATTCTACAGGTGTAATATTACTCTATTGGCCTATGGTTACAGTCGTCAGATTCTTTTGATCTCAGCCTTGTCTTGATGTCTATTTTTGCTATCCTAACCTCATATTATTTGTTTTTAAAATTTTTCGGGTCAGTTTTCTCCTTTTCATGCTATATTTCCCACTTAATTCGCACTAACGACTTATAGGTTGGACACGAATTTACCATAGTCCAAACGTTACACGGAAGACAGAGTAACTGCATACTTCACGACCATTATTACATCCATTAATCCACTTAAGTGGTTTATTCAATGCATTCTGTGACATACCAGGATTGCCCAAGGAAATCAGAGGTCGAACGCTACGTTAAAGAGCATAAAATCGATGAAATGCTGCAGAATTTGACCTCTTCGTTATTCTACCAAATGTCAGGTAAGCACATTTACTACCTATTCAATTCGTACAATATCTACTTTATATATATATATATATATATATATATATCACTCAAATGCACTATAGAACCTGATACATGTGTGCGTCAAATGGTTTTATCGCTTCTTATATTTGAATTCTCAGCCTCTTGTCAATAGGAAGTAAGTACTGCCTCACTCTGTATAAATTCAGCGTTAAATTGGTGTTTATGTCTTACATGGACGTCAAATTTTTAGACATAATATCGCACTAGTTTTCCGGTAGTTTATTAGTGTTCACTGAAATTTCACGATGTCATTCAGTTTTATAAATTATATTGTTATAAAAAATACCAAATAAATCTGTACTCCATATTTCATTCGGTTATTGTGATTCTTATCACCAGGTTAGTCTTGAATGTGCAAATGGGTACTGTGAACTGTTTAACTTCTGTTACTCATTAATCATCTTGAAGGACTTTAAAACATCAACACCATGGCCACTGTCAAGCGGGGCGCGTGTACACATTACTGAAAACGTATTTTCATCTCAGTCTAACCTTTTACAGAATGTGCCCTGCAATGCAGACAATAGCCCTCTTTTCTGTTTTTATGATATATGTTCTTTGACACGTACATGTAAACTGGAAGATGCAATTAGAAATGATACAAGGCGAAAATTGGTTCACACACGACTGTCTTAATGAGTAATTTACTTGATAGAAAAGAACCGGTTTGGCAGCTGGACAAGTCATTTTTATTGTGGTTTTTAACCTAAATTCCGTTTTTTTCAGCCGCTTTATCACCCTTGAAGCCAAGTCTTAGGAAGTCAGGCTTTCTTTCAAATACAGCATACTCCATTTCTTCCATTTAATCTTCCCGTACGTCTTTGTGAATTTCTGAGGGTAGTCATTACTATGTAAACAAAGTCCGGGTATAGTTATAATTTTCATCAATTTTGCCTTCTGAACGTAATCTTGTGGTACGATTGAACAGCTTTCTAACTAAGGCTGTGGTCAAATTGATGAAGTGGATATGGGTAGCCCACCAGGTCCAATCTTGACAGATATCTTCATGGCAAACCTAGGACAGACAGTGATGAAACCAATCGTCAATGATACAGCGTTGCACGTCGGATATGTTGACGACGAATTAGTTGTCATTAACGTTTATTAACATGCTTCCCATATGCTGTAACTCTTCGTAAATTTTTATTGACGATAACTCTCCCGGCATTATTATGTGTAGTAATTACTCTGACTTCTGAGGATTAATACTACCATGTTAAAGTTATAAGCAGCTAATCAGAAACTGTGAGGTGTAGTGAAACCATGTTATTCTGTTAGATTAGCTCCTGCTTTATTCAACTTTATGAATGGGAAGAAATAATTTTTATTTATTGGTATAATTAGATCTTGTGAGCATTGACTAGGTATAAAATAGGTAGATTGTGGTTAGCATTAGAATGGAAGATGAGCATTCGGTACTAATTGAAGCTCATCAGTGGGATTTGCCTACATTCGTTTTGGTTTTTATATCGGTGTCTGAGCTAAGTACTGTCCGCATCAAATGACTGAATTTGAGTAACCTATGGCTTGTGCAGAGAGCATGATTATTATCATACTAATAGTAAGCCAAACTTTAGGCCTCAGTATCAACCAAGGGATAATGCGATCTCATTCTAATAATGATATAAATATCACACGCGGTGCACAAGTGAATGGATATCTAAATTCAGTACTTTATTGAATAATGTGTTGGCGTTCGGATTGAAAGTCACTGGGTTATATTCGCGGTGCAAAATTAGACACATATGTACCTGTGTCCAGTTAAAGAGTACCACGTAGAACAAATCGACTGTCTTGAATTCCACTTCAAGCCACATTTAATCTAATTTAAAAAACTTTGTAAAGAAGTTATATTTTACTGGATCAAGTCAGAATTCAAATTATGCTGTATTCGATTAGTTAGCAAATAATAATCTGAAGAGAATCAAGAGTTTGTAAATGATTTGTCTTGATAATGCTTTTTTTCAAACATATACTGTTCCATTTTGAATCATATCTATCACTCATATCAAGCAATGTTGTCTTCATCTAAATCTTTAATGATCTATATGGTTTTGATAAAAATGTACTACCAATGTAACCCTGTGGAACTGGTAAGGTTTATAAAAGTAGCATATCTATTGTATTAAAACACCAAGTCACACTAATAAAATTAGAAAAAAACACATGTCGAAGAAAACACGATATTCCCTTTTAGTTACCATCTTTTATTATTCTGTACTGTTTATGATATTGTACATATAAAGCACAGTTACAACTAGTAATAGTAGGCTAATGATATATTTTTCATACTTCAATAGGAAGGAATTAAAATTTCTAACGTTTTTCATCTTAGTTCAGGAAGCTTCTTCAAAATAAGTAAGTAACCGGATTAAATTAATAGAAGTTTAAACAGCAGAGAGTATTAATGAAGAATATGTAGTTCAATCAAAATAAAAATAGATGTGACTATATCAATTTCTCTTCATTTTCATCAAGATGATTCTGTATCGAACATCTTTGTGTGTATTTATGTGTATGGATTGAGTTCATTTACAACTTTACTTTCTTACTTACGCCTGTTACTCCTCGTAAAGGAGCATAGGCCGCCTACCAGTTTGGTTAGCGTTTTTTTAGCGGGTTGGTTTTCTACAGGATGGGATTACTAACCCCATGTCCAACCCTCCTCCCTTACCCAGGTTTGGCACCAGCAGTAACTTTAGAAAAGCTACAACTTTGCTCCTCGTGGAGGAGCATACGCCATCTACCAGCACTCTCTATCCTACCCTATTCTGAACAATCCTTCCCAGCTCTTTCCAGTTGTTAATCATTCATTTAAAAACTTTTTTATATTAATCTTTAAATATGGTTTCATAATGTAAAATTATTTCTAATCAATAATTTATTAATATTTTAGAAAATCCAAAACAATATTTAATTGAACAATTACGATTATTAAAAGCTTCACGAGATGAATATGCAGAACCTCCAACATTATTTACTGAAACTAATGCTGAAACAATATTTAATATGCTTGATCCATGTGATAAGAAGTCAATCCCTCTAGATCGATATCATCATGCTTTAGAAACATTAGGAGTACTACAACATAGTAAAGTTTTAGACAACAAAGATGAATTCATAAGTAAAGATGTATATATGAATGTTGTGTAAGTAGTTGTGTTTTTTCTAATTGATTTGAACTTCTTATTATTAGTAAAACAGGTTTAAAACAAATGGCCTCAACTTATAAACCATTTAAATAAGTTATGGAAATCAAAAATAGTAACAAAGAAGATTCATATGCAAATTGTATTGTATAACAATGAAATAGTCATGTGTAATGTAATGTGTGTGACTCAAATAAGAAAAAATTGATGTAAATTAAACTTTTCCTAATTGATAAATCCTTTCTCTTATTTCAGTTTTATAAAGGAATTTAAAACAATTTTGATGAACTATGTTGTAAAAGAGTTAATCTTACTTCAAGAATAAGTAATAGGTATTTAAGCAAAGATGGATAGTGGCTAGTAATGGAATCTAGGACACGGGTTTCGTCCCATTTGGGACTTATCAGATGGATGTGACTGCATTTCATAGTTGTTCACCGTGGAATTTGAACCCAGTACCATTTGCTTTGAGCACCATCGCTTTATCTACTTATCTACTGAGTCCTGATAGCCATTTGCTTTTGCAATGGGGTGAAGTTTAAATGCACTTGATGTTGTTTTACTTTTATCTTCCCATTGTTATTTAGGACTGCAATTGATCAGTCTCATGTTGACATATGTGCATTTCGTGCGGATTGAAGCGAACGGTATTGGGTTCGAGTTCCGGAGTGAACATCAACTCTGGGATGCAGGTACATCCAGCTGACAAGTTTTAAATAGAACAAAACGCCCGTCAAACTGGATTCCACTGCTAACCACTGTTCATCTTTGCTAACAAAGCTTGTGACTTCAGGCTATATCGAGGCAATCCGCACAGGATGCACACATGCCAATATGAGAATGATCAAATGCAGTCTTAAATAACAATGGGAAGATGCAAGTAAAACAACACCTAGTGAATTTAAGGAATATGCATGTTTTATGTAGAGGGAAGGCATACAGTTAAAAGCTAATTAACAAATTAGAAGTTTGCGTAAACGTTAACTATTATAGACTTGGTTGTTCGAATATCAGTGATTTATTGATTAGTATGATCAAGTAGAAATAATAGATGTGTGAAATAATCAGTCAGTCGCAACGTAGAACTTCGTACTTACGTATGTACATACATCAGTTCAAATTGCATACCAGATAAGCACAGAGACACAATTGTCATTCAAATCCCATAGTCGTAGAGGTAGTAAAAGCATAAGCAGTAATAGGGAACATTAGGGTTTGATGATGTTATTCAAGGAGTATAACCCAATAAAATAAATTTGGAAAGAGAAAAAAGGGGATATAAAGAATTCAAAACATTAGAATTTGGGAGAATACGAAAACTGGATGCACCACTGCGCCATTGCAAACGAATTTCAACCATGTCATTCAAGGTCTCTAACTATCGGTTGCTATCGTCTCGTGGATCCCAACCAGGTAGTCTACATCCACTAACATGACTCAGTCCACTTTTCAGTGATGTTGTGAAAAACGATGACAGTCTGTGTTGTGATATGTTTTAGCATAACTATGGTGATGATCATAAGTGACTTATCAGCCAATTAGGAAGCACTACCTTGTTATAAAACAACTAACGATTAAAAGTAATAAAATTATAGTATAATAGTAGTTTTGATATGGTTAGTCATCCTTTAGTTAGTAACTTATTATGGTAAAAGAATAAGGTCCAGTCTTCATTATTAAGTGTCAAGCTACAGTTGTTAATAAGAATTATAATCATATAGGGTTTTCACCACTAACTAACATCAACTATAATGCAGTGATGTTAAATTATTCCTTTGTTTATAAACTTAAAGAACTATAGGTTGGGATTTATATTCCGATGTTTTCACTTATTTTGTAAAACCACATATGCTATCTAGCACTACCCTTTTATCCGAAGGGGGTTTTGTGGAGATTTTAGTCATTTCAATTGTTGAGACCATGATTCGATTGAAACTAGGTCATCATAGAAAACCTGGAAGCACAAGACGGCAGTTTCGTCTCATTGGGGGACTCCTCAGCAGTGAGCATCCACGATCCCGCTTCGCGGGATTCGAACCCAGGACCTACTGATCTCGCGAGCGAGCAGTTGACAAATAGATCACTCAGATGGCGGGCATCCAACGGTGTTAATGTCTAACTTCAACTAATCCACGAAATTGAGAGACACATCCACAATAGAACGAAACGGCCGTCCTGTGCTTCCAGGGTTTCAATGGTGGTCTAGCCTCAAATGACTCATGATCTCATTTATTAAAATATGGAAACTGTTGCGTTTAAACAAATGCACAAAACTGTAGATAACTGCTACAGTGGTCGAGATAAATTAATTATAATAATGACTGCAATTAATGTTATAACTATATGTAAATATTTCAGAATATTACTTGACATACGTGCGTTACAACATGAGCACAGAAATTGCTGGAAATACAATTATTTACTGAATATAAATAAGTAGTATAAAACAATATGCAAAAAAGTAGAAGAGAAGCGAGAATGGACAGAATGTAAAACATACTTAACAGAAGGTAAATCAATCAAAAAGATAAAACATGTTGATGGGATCAAATTCAAATGAGACACGATCACAACTTTTTTTGAGTTGAGATCACTATTACGTAACCGATTAATGGTAAATACAAGACAATAGTTAAAGTTATACGATTTTCTGCCATTCTGGGTACACATCTGAAGGTACTTAAAATAACCAGTGATCAATACTTATCCTTTGTATATTGTCTTCTATTATTTAAAAAAATAACTGTGTCTGTTGTATACATAGGCCTCTTTATCAATACTGTTTTATAATCTGATTATAGGTTATGGCAAGTAATGCAAATAAATTAGGTATGTTTCAGAAATAGAGAAATCATCGAAGACTTAAGGGATTTAAATGTAACACGCGTCAATCCAGTCAAACTAAGAAAAGAAGAAGTTTTGGCCTTAACTCTACTTGATATTCATTCATCTCTTTCAACAATGACTGCTTAAATAGTTTTTTTTCCTGAGTGTTTGACAACCACCACACTTGCTTGCTATTCACTTCCAATTAGATCCTATTGTTAAATACATCTCTTTGATCTTTATTCTCAGACTATTATTTAACATTCCTTGACACGAAGTCAGTAGGCAATGCAACAGTATTTAATTAATCCACAGATATTTTGGACAAATTTGTCTATGGAATAAGGTTGTGTAATTCCAAGTCAGATAGACGATTAGACCATCGCTCAAATGAATGGGGAGAGTTACACTGTGTGAAAAGTTAAGGGTACTTCAATATTAGTCAAAATATCTGTAGCGTGGTGTCGAGTTGAGCTGAACTATGAACACCGCTACCAGACTACTTGCCAATAGACCAATAAAATTCCGGTAGGCCAAAATGTCAGAAGGCAGATGATTGTAGTAGTCGTATATATTTGTTGGCAATCTCGTGGTATCGAAAGAATACCGAGATCGTGCCAAAGGAGTACAAGCGTGGTTACTGAGCGTAACCGGATTCGTACAAGTTCGAAGTCAACGGGAGAGTAAGTATAACGGCTGTCATTAGCACAGTTAAACAAACGAGCACAGTAATACAGTCACTGGTACAATTGGTTATAATAATAATTGTTTTCATCGAACCAATCGCGTTCTGTTGACAAAAGTAGGTCACTACAGGAGCCCCCCGCTAGAAAGGGTTTACACTTTCGATAGTTAGCGGTTTGATTCGTGGGACTGATCGGCAGAATTGCGGTTGTAGGACGGAGGAAATTGGCGGAACAGGAAGTGATCATTGATCCTCGAGTTGCCAACGAAAGTCTTTTGCGCAGAACGGTACCAGGAGAAGTGTGCTGTATTTGTTGGTCGAGTTAGCATACCACACCAGAGTGGTTTGTATCCAGGATCTGATGATTGCGTTCGTATGGATGCGGACCAGAAAACGCTGCAGACGTAGGACGAAACCACGTTGAGCCAAGAAACCGGACGCGACCATAACTACCAAGCATATGCCAGGCGAATTCGAGACCAGATAATCGACTGAGTGCGTTGACTAGAGCGTGGGTGGCCAAACCAGCTTTCGCCAAAGTTGACTGAAGTCGACGTTATCAAATGGGCGATGGTCGGAGGCGTGGGCTCAGGATACAAAAAAAAATCAAAAAAAGAAAAGTGTAGCATGCGTGTAGTATAGGAATAATCCTACACCGTATCCGTTATTGACTCTGCGGTTAGTCGCGAAAGCGTACGGGTAATCGTACTCGGCGACCGGAACGTGAGACGGTAGTCTCGTTCGTACTTCGTGAACCTGCGATCTCATCCGAGGTCAAGGGCGGCGTGGTCTGCCGATCTGGACGTGAGACGGAAGTCTCGTCCGTAGACGGTGCAGATGAAGCGTGCTGTTGACCGGGACGTGAGAACGAGGTCTCTGATGTATCTAGCGTGGGATCCGAGGTAGATGTAGAGATCCCGCTAGTAGGTTTGATAGGTCTAGCATTGAGTCTCAAGTTATCGGGTAGGGCACTGTCATTGACGTGTGCTGGTTTGAGACGATCAATGCTGACGATCTCGACGCGGCCGTGTCGATCAACCTTGAAGGTCTTCTCGTGACGAGAGATCACGTGAAAAGGGCCTTCGTAAGGCTGTTGTAGAGGTTTGCGTACCGAATCTACTCGTATGAAAACATGTGAACAGGTAGATAACTCTCGAGGGAGAGCGACCTGTCGATGTTGTATTCGAGTTGACACCGGAGACAGCGTTCGCATAAATGCAGACAGTCGATGGACGTAGTCTGATTTACCGAAATCATTACTGCTCCGTGGTGTGAAGAATTCCCCAGGCAGACGCAATGTCGTGCCGTATACAAGTTCAGCGGCGGAACACTGGGTATCTGCCTTCAAACTCGTTCTGATGCCTAAGGGAACGAGCGGTAAGGTTTCGTACCAATTGTCGTTTTCGTGTGCTCGGAGAGCACTTTTAAGTTGGCGATGAAACCGTTCGACTAAACCATTCGATGCTGGATGGTAGGCGGTGGTGCGTATGCGTTCCGTACCAAGCAGCCGGGTCAGTGAGGAGAATAATGCGGACTCAAATTGTTGTCCTCGGTCAGTCGTGACAGTCGAGGGACAACCGTACAA